TGTGCCTCGACAGACCTGCTCACGTGTTCTCAGTAGAGGAAGTCACCGATAATAAACCGTGGTTCTATGACATTAAACGTGTTCTTCAAACTCAAGAGTACCTGCCTGGGGCATCCAATAAAGATAGGAAGACGTTGAGGAGATTGGAAAGTAGTTTCTTCCTCAATGAAGAGGTATTATATAAGAGGAATTATGACATGGTCTTGCTCAGATGCGTAGACAGGTATGAAGCAGACATGTTGATGCAAGAAGTACACGAAGGATCCTTTGGCACTCATGCCAATGGACATGCAATGGCTAAAAAGATGTTGAGGGCTAGTTACTATTGGATGACAATGGAATCTGATTGCTGCAAATATGTGAAGAAATGTCATAAATTCCAAATTTATGCGGACAAGATACATGTACCACCGACCATCCTCGATGTTATCTCTTCACCTTGGCCTTTCTCTATGTGGGGCATTGATATGATTGGAATGATTGAACCCAAAGCTTTGAATGGTCATCGTTTCATCTTGGTGGCCATCGACTATTTTACTAAATGGGTGGAAGCAGCATCTTATGCTAATGTAACCAGACAGGTGGTAGTTAGATTTATCAATAATCAGATCATTTGTCGATACGGAATCCCGGGCAAGATCATCACTGATAATGGTTCGAATTTGAATAACAGAATGATGAGAGAGCTTTGCGAAGAGTTCAAGATCAAACATCATAATTCTTCTCCCTATAGGCCAAAGATGAACGGGGTTGTTGAAGATGCTAATAAGAACATCAAAAAGATTATCCAGAAGATGGTGGTAACTTATAAAGATTGGCATGAAATGCTTCCGTTTGCTCTACATGGGTACCGTACTTCAGTTCGAACTTCAACAGGCGCAACCCCATTTTCCCTAGTATATGGTATGGAAGCAGTACTCCCCGTGGAGGTTGAGATCACGTCTATGAGAGTTTTGATGGAAGCTAAACTTTCTGAGGCTGAATGGTGTCAAAGTAGATATGATCAGTTGAATTTAATTGAAGAAAAGAGATTGACAGCGTTGTGTCACGGTCAACTATATCAACAAAGAATGAAGAAGGCATTTGATAAGAAGGTTCGACCACGCGAATTCAGAGAAGGTGACCTCGTGCTCAAGAAGATATTATCTTTCCAACCTGATTCTAGGGGCAAATGGGCTCCGAATTATGAAGGACCATATGTGCTTAAGAAGGTTTTCTCTAGAGGCGCCATGATTCTCACAAATATGGATGCTGAAGAACTCCTGCGCTCCGTGAACGCTGATGCAGTCAAGAAGTATTTCGCCTAGGTTTGAGTTGACAGTTTGCTAAGTTGAAAACCCGAAGGGGCGGCTTAGGCAGGCTTTTGGTCAAACCAGTCATAGCATTTGAGCACATCTCAGAATTCGAAGATGTTAGGGAGAATAGTGATCATTGTTTTTGTGTAACCTTTTTCTTTCATGTACTATTTCCCAAACTTTTGTAAATCGTTGGAGTCGCATTGTTAGCGAACTACCATCTTATTAATGAAATTTGAGCATTTATCTTTTTGTGGGCAAAATTTTAGCTTTTGTGGAAATATTTGAAACAAAGTTAAAAAGTATTTTTTTTATTTTGAAATGTGTCATGAATACTGGAAGGAATATTAACAGTTGCTCCAAGGATGGTTAAGCCATGAAATGCAAAACAATATCGTAATTCATCCTTGTATGGTGAACATGTTTTCTTTCAAAATCGTCATGAGGTGTTGGTTGTGTAATCTTGTGTTTCTAGTAGAGTACTAATTTGGTGACTCCCAAGCAATTCCGGTTAAGCTTTGTTTCGGTTATCTCTAATTGGGCAAATTTCCGAAGTGTAGTACATTTTGTATCATGTCAGTGGTCTATTGGTGTTGGAAGATTGGATCTGAATACCTTTCTCCCTAGAAATACTTGAGCCTTGTAGTATGATACGCTCTGACGTTGCCTTTTGTTCCAGTTCCAGTTATTTTTCGTCTCTTTAAGATTGGCCGAGTATCTAATTATTTTGTGACATCTTGTCATCTTCAATTTATTTCCTCTATCTATTTTGTCAGCATACACATGACATTCATTTACTCATTTACACTTATATCATGCATGCATATTTACATTTGTCGGTGATATGGGGGTCATATACCTTGTTTATGTTTATTCAAACAGCGTACATGTTCTTTCCAAGTAGAATGTTAACTTAGGCAGAAAATGTGCTTCCTTTCTAATTCCCCAGCTGAGTTAATCCTCGTGGATGAATTTTTGATTTAGCCTTCCTTGTCCATCTCTGGATAGGGTGAATCCCCAATTGGGTTATTTTCTCATTGGGTGGAGTCTTGTTTGACTGTCTTCTCTCTGGTTTATTCCTGGATTGAGTTTTGTCTCTTGCATAGGCTATCTCGTGGTTTTCTCCAGGCTAGGCAACCTAGATGAATGGTGCATTTATTTTGCACATTTGAGTATCTGATCTCCTCAGGAAGGATCTATTCATGGTTTCCTTTGAAGAAGAATTTTATTCCCTGGTAGTGTTATCACAACTTGTACGTTATTGACATCTTTGGAAAATGACAAGTGGCGGTCTCTTCATGAGCAACTTGTACGTTATTGACATCTTTGGAAAACGACAAGCGGCGGTCTCTTCATGAGCAACTTGTGCGTTATTTACATCTTTGGAAAACGACAAGCGGCGGTCTCTTCATGAGAAACTTGTACGTTATTGACATCTTTGGAAAACGACAAGTGGCGGTCTCTTCATGAGCAACTTGTACGTTATTGACATCTTTGGAAAACGACAAGTGGCGGTCTCTTCATGGGCAACTTGTACGTTATTGACATCTTTGGAAAACGACAAGCGGCAGCCTCTTCATGAGAAACTTGTATGTTATTGACATCTTTGGAAAACGACAAGCGGCAGTCTCTTCATGAGCAACTTGTATGTTATTGACATCTTTGGAAAACGACAAATGACAGTCTCTTTATTTGAGCAACTTGGGGGTATAGTTTTCTTGGAAGACAGCAAGTGGCGGCTTCTTTATTTGAGTAGCTTGTATGTTATAGACATCCTTTGAAGACAACAAGCGGCGGCTTCTTTATTTGAGCAGCTTGTATGTTATAGACATCCTTTGAAGACAGCAAGTGGCGGCCTCTTTATTTGAGCAGCTCGTGTATCTACAAACATATGTTATTTCAGCATCAAATGGTATCTCTCTAGAAAAATCTTGCAGAGAAGTTTGTTGTCAAATCTCTACCTTCATAAGTCGGTAGTTCACTATCAGCAAAAATTGATACATCTTTTGTCTATCTTTGACCTTGAGTTGTGAACTCACCATCATCTTGGGTCAATAATTTAATTTTTTTCGTGACCTATGCAAGGCGTCTTCTTTGTTAGGGTCAGAAGTTGTCTTCTCTCAAATTTTATTTAAGAGTCTATCATTCGAAGTCGATGGCTCATTTTCCCAGTAGTGTATAATCTTTGTTCCTGTGGGTTATTTGTACTTGGTTTCTCCAACATTATTCTGTCTCATACAGTATCATTCTCCATAAATTTCAAATACTACATTCATATCATAAACATAATGGCGGTATCTTAGGGCAAAAATTGCGTAATATGTATTTAAGTACCTTCAATCTCGTCTAGACGAAGATTTCAATCTTCATATCTCTTGATAGAAGAAACTTAAATAGGGGCAGCTGTCATACCCCAATTTTTTACCTAAGATCGCAGTTTTATTTGCATTGTTTTATATATATACATCAAGGTCACAGAATATGGTAGGTTTCGAACGTTTCACCTTCGAGCTTTGACTGTGTAGAGATTATCGAGTGTTGTGAGCATTTTATCTTATGAATGACTAACCACTAATCAAGCACGAAGTGTATGTTTTGTTTTTTTTATTTCATGTGCAGGAAATAGATCTGAAAGAAGAGCATCGGATGTCACACATCAATTAGGGTTTCGAGGCTCGGGGAAGAAATTCGATCGGTCGTTAATTCTCAAAGGCTGGTTCATCAAATAATTTCAGAGAATTGTGTGTTTATTTCCACACTCTGTCCAACAGATGGTCTCCAGCTTCTCTGATTTTTTTTAGAAAGAATGGTCGGAGTTTTACTATCTTTAGTTCATGTGTGTTTCACATTATTTTAAAATACAAGAAAACCAAGCTATGCCAGTCATTTTCGATCACTTCGACCAAGAGTCATCTGCAAGTTTTCTCATGACGCAGAGTGAATTTCGTCAAAATGGAATGATTAAATTCAAAACCTTTCTAGAAGAATTTATTTGGAATATTTGGAATTTTCTTTATTTCAATTCCAGCGATAATTAAAGAAGAGATACCAAGAGATCTCATTCAAGAATAATCATTTATCGTATGAAATATTTATTCAAGATTATTTTGTGTGATTATTTTGGTGGATTTACATTAAGGTTATTTGAACACACATGAAACATTTATTAAGGAGATATTAGGAAAAGGAATTCAATTCAAGTAATTGTTCTTCACAAGATTAATTACATGAGGATTGCTATTTGATGACAAAATCAATTCATGTGATTTATTTGGATCTCTATTACAAAATGCAAGATTCAAGTCTAAGACTTGTATTATTATTTATTCATCATTCAACAATTTATTCAAGTATTATTCAATTCTTTCCCAATTCAAATGGAAGACCTTGAATTTTTATCAAGACATATCAAGATTCATTTTCATATGAAGATTCAAAGTTATTTATAATTACAAGGGAATTGTGAATATATTGAAGAATACATGTTCATTCATGTTACAATTTACTTGGATTTATTGTTACAAAGTTACAAAAGAAATACAAATTTTGTACATGAAAATCAAGTTGTTATTCTTGCTACAAAACAGTCCCAATGCTGACCATTTTTCCAGCACTGTTTTAATCCAATAACAGTCCAATTCTTGAGTATAATACTGTCCATTTTCTCCAACCATTGTTTCAACAAGACCATGCCAAGATGTTGTCCTAATCTGCCCTGCAAAACAGTCCAGAATGCAGCCCATAAGACAAAAATCCGCACCTTTGCTTCTACAAAAAATAGTCTACAAAACTCCAAATATTGCACTAAAATGCATACTTCAAAAAGCTGTCTCATAAAACATCAAAATATGGCCTAAAATAGTTCAAACCTCTACTGTTTTCACCCCTAAAACCCCAAATATTTCACCATAAATAAGGGCCTCTATCAACAAAAAAAGAGGAGGAGAGTTTTGTCCAAGAATCACACTAGAAAAATCAGAAAGAATACATACAGAGAAAGATTTAGAGGGAATCATACATAGAAAATTCAGCAAGAGTAACACAAACTCAACAAGAAAAATATAGAAATTCAAGGAGAAAAACTTAACATTTTGAAGCCCCGTCGGAGAGGCTCCGATAGGTATTTTCTTCCTCCCTATTTACTTCTGCATAACTTCCTCATTTATATGTTTAAATCTTCTCTTTACACCACTTTTATGCCATGTGAATGCTTGCTTATCATACCTTTTTTGCTGTATTTTGTTTGCTGCAATATGTGGACATTTAAACATGTTTAGGGATGATAATAATAATAATAAACACCGACAGAAATGTATAGTAAATGACAGAATTCAGAAAAGTATATACCTTCAAATTTCTTTTCTCGGAGTACACAAATCCAAGAGAGAAAATCACCACACATTGTCTCTACACTTACAGTATCATAGTTGTTAACCTTTACTCTCATCTTTCGCCTCCTTCCCGTGCCTTAATCAGCATTTTGAACAACAATAACCTCACTCATAAACTTATCAAGTCTTCAAATTTCTCTTCTCAAACACTCACGTCCATCTGCAAAAAAAAATTGTTCAAACATCAAACAAGAAACAGAGAAACAATCGGCAGAGAAATCAACCACAATACCCAAAAAAACTCATAAACCCTGCTAAAACTTTGCCTAACCTAATTGCAACCAAGACTACATTTCCATCCACTTAAACCACAACTGACCTTCGACAATATTTACTCCCTTGCACCATACACTCAACAAATACTCACTGTAGTTCACATTCTTCAGTTCACACAACTCTTCAAACAATTCCATGTATCAACCTTATACACCGAATCTCAGAATCCACAGCCAACACTCACCATAACTTCAAACAACCGCACAATCCCTTTCTCCCATCCTCCTCCGTCATCGTTCAATACCCCTCTGTAATACTCACCACACACCACCTTTCTGCAACAAAGTATCTACTAACTACTCTCAAAACCATTTTGATTCTTTCCTCCCAACAGCCACTATATCACCACTGATTCAAACACTTCCCGGGCAGATCTTCACCACCACCATCATCCATTAAAAACCCCCCACAACATCAGTCTCGTTCCCAGCAACACACTCAAATTTCTTTTGCATCAAATCTAAAATCTTCCACCCAAGTGCAGACTGTAAGATCCACTCAGTCTCCATCTCCACCAGTTAGGGTTGGTTCGCCAACAAATTCATCAATGTCCAAAAGCACTTGCAGTACAAGGACAACAAATTCAACCTCAATCAACAACGAGACTATCCAAACTAGTTCCATATCCTCCAAGTAAGCCAAAAACTCTCATATGCCAACCCGTAAATCCTCACCAGTTCGATCAATCCTCACTGGACCTCAAATAACTCCCTCTTCCAACGCTGGGAGTAAATCGTGATTGTCATAGCAGCAACAATAACAACATAACGTAGATCCGTCTTGAAGAACATAACCAAAAACTGAGATGAGGAAGCACTGATATTGAAGCATACCTGGATTGTTCCACAGTTTATATTGTTTATTACAAATATTGAGTCTGAGAGAGAAGAGGTTATCGCGAGAGAGTGAGAGACTCGATTGAGAGAAGGAAGGAGAAGTTTGTTTTTTTGTTGTTTCGGTATAGCAGAGAAGTTTACGCTTGAGAGATTTGTAGCGTGTGAGAGAGATTAATTTGATAATTCAATATGCAGTTAAGAGAAATTATAGGGAACCAAAGTTTTAAGCATGACCTTTCCTCTTCCCAATACAAACAGCCGCGACGCTACTTTTTCCCTAGGGTTTTCAAAAATTTCCTTGCCCCTTCTCCCAAACCGGGTCAGCCCTTTGGGCCTTTTAGCCCAATCTGATTATCATCATTCCCTTTATATTTCAATAAAGACGTAGTAATAACAAATAAGCAATACAGTTCAGTTGGCAAGACACGTTTGCAGTAACCTAGAGAACCTGAGTTCAACTCTCAGCTAGGCCAATTTTCTCTTTTTCTTGATTCTTTAGCCTTATTTCCAATTTTATTAAATATATAATAAAATATTAACTTATTTTATTTTATATATAATTATTTCATTATAAAACACAAAAAATATGCTTGTTACAAATTAATCTTTTATTTTTTGTCAACATGCTATTTAATCTTTTATTTAATTTTTTGTTATTTAATTGTTTACAAATACATGCTATTATAATTTAGTCTTTATTTAATTTTTGTTATTTATTTAATTTAAAAATATATGCTTACAAACTAATCTCTTATTGAATTTTTGTTATTATTCAATTGTCATTCTAATTAAATCATCGATCGCTTAATCCTTATATCTTTCGTCCGTCTCAATTCCAAGGGAAATGTTTTAACTTTGTTGACTTCACGTCATCAAACACATCGTGCGAATACCCTCATTCATCTTTTGGTCATTATTTTGCTAAACCTAAGATAATTTTCCTAAAAGATTCCATTTCCAAACTCACACCTTTTAAGTCAAAACTTCGACATTAGGTCATCGTATCCTCAAAATCTCGTCCACACCCATCTTTAGCCAAATGAACTATTTTAATCAAACAAATAATTTTAATAAACAGATATTTCAAAAGGTTCCTATAGGATACTATAGATGCATTGGGTGCTAATACCTTCCCATTGTATAACCAACCCCCGAACTCTAAATCTCTTTTCAAAATGCATTGTATTTTCATTACTTTCAAGTATTATTTTACATTTCATATTTTAGGGTTTTATTTCGATCTTTTCCCTTTTCCCTTGGAAATAATAAAGCGCGGTGGTGACTCTTGCTTTTGTGAGTCGAGTTAATTAATAGCTCGATCTCTGATTTACCCCGCTACATTTTTTATCGCTACAAGAAGGTATTAGCACCCTTTTCATCCATGGTTTTCCATGGGCTCTTAGTTACTTGCTAGATCACTTGCTTTTTGTTTGAAATTGTGCTTGGTGTGGTTTTTTTTTAAAAATATTTTGTAAAGAGGCCTTTGTTTAGGAAATCTTTGTAATGATTCTTGTTTGTAAGAATTTATACAAAGATGTTTGATCTTTTGAAAATGTTTTCAATTTTGTAAGATGTTTGAAAGTGTAAGTGTTTGTTTTTAAAATAGCAAGGATGTTTGTTTAAAATTGAGAAAGTAATTAGGAGCATTTTACCTACTCAAAAGTCTTTCTTGTTCATTTTTCTTTTCCTTTGACATTGTTATCTTACCATTGATTTGGTAAGCAACCCTATCTTTAGATGTAAATGGAACGGACGTGGGTCATCGTATAACCATGATTAGCAATGTTGCAAGGTATCTTAGCATTCTTTTTTAGGGACTAAGATCATTTGAAAGGCAACTTAGATAGCGTCATCGAGGGACTATGATCTTGTATTTGCTTTGTTTTTGCTAAGATACCTTACATGCGTAACATGGCCGTTTTGTATAAGGCAACCAAGTGGAATAACCCTAGGGGTGCTTGTGTGCAAATGTATTGTTTTCATGCTTGTTTTTGTCTTGAATTAGGGTTTTCTAAGTATTGGTTTTAGTCTTTCCATACAAACCCTAATTACTAGCATGTTATATATAAAAGCGATAAATTGTGGAATTTAAAGTTACTATGCTATTACAACATTTGTGGGAGGGGGTGTATAATTTGTAAATGGGGATTGCAAGAATATAAACCTAATTAATCTATTACAACCAAATTGAATTTGTACGAGAATTGAAATAATGTACAAAAATAAATAAATGTACAAAAATGTCAAATGTAAAGTAAATGAATATTTTTGTTCGGATTTTTTAGGAAAAGTGAATTTGTTTTAACCTAATTAATTAAAGAAAATAATTAATTAAACTTAAATTTATTAAGAAAAGATTTTAAATAAAACCCTAATTATATTAATTGATTAAAAAAAGAAATTAAGTTTCAAGAAAAGTATTTTTGGTATTTTTGTCTTGAAAATAATATATGGTGTCATAAAATATTTTTTGGCCTTTCATATATTAAAATAATATATTTAAATTGGTGTAAAAGAAAAAAATAAAACCTATTATTTTAATTAAATTTACAAGATGTTTAGTGAAATGAATAAAATATTTATTAAATAAAAAAATTTTATGAGAAAAAATGAATAAACTATGTCAAAATGAAAATCTAATTTTTTTTTTATGATTTTTTAATATTAGGAAAAATATTTTAAGAAAATAAAATGAAATAAAAATAAGAAAATAAAATAAAATTGGGCCATGGGCGCAAATAGTCCACAGGGGGGGTTAGCTAGCAAAAGCAAAAAAAAAAACCCAACAAGGCCCAGTGCCTGCAAAAAGGTCAGAAAATGCAAAAATATGGAGAAAAAAAACTAAAAGGGTATCACTGGGGCTCGAACCCAAGTCCCAAAAGTTACAGGCGCGCACTTCTACCACTGGGGTGGCTATACATCTGTTAACATAAGCAAATTAATAAATATACAAGGCAAAATGCGTCCTGATGACTTCATCTTCAACCTCCAGCCAGACCAACTATAACTTGCTCATTTCTCATCAAAAATGAAAACTGTAAACATGAAACTTGTAGCAAATTTTCTCACGGTTTCAGAAATGTAAAGCATTAAAACTATAGATCAAAGATAAGCATAAATTTTAATGGCCCTAATCTGAACCCAAAAAATCTCAGAAATTTCAGTCTCAGAAATTTCAGTCTCAAAATTCTCTATAAGCAAAATTAATGGAAACTATGGACATGGTTAGCTTCGGGGCAATGATATCTACATGTTTTGTTCACAAATAAACCATTGATGATGCATGTATGAAGAGTTCAAAGTTAAGAAAACTTACCTAAAAACTGGAAATCGTGTTTTGAGTTTGAGCTTGTTTCAAGTGATGAGGATGATCAGGTTAGCTTCCTTGAGGTCCCAGGAAGCTAATGCAATGATTAGCTTGAGCAATGGATGTCTGAAATGGTTTGGAGAAGTCAATATGCAGAGCTCTGTTTTTGGAAATGGAGGATGGTGTTAATTGTGTTATAGTTCTATAACAGGGTGTGGGATCAACTCTATGTGATGTTTAGAAACTTTAGAAACCAAAATGCTAAGAAACGCACGAGTAGATTATGAGTTTCAAGTTTTTGGTCAGTTTGTGTGAAAATGGAAGTGTGAAGTGTGATTCTGAGTTCTAGGTGTTTTCAAGGCTTGAGCATTTGTCTATTTGGTGCAAATAGTTTGTGTATCCATAAGCAAAAAGATTGGAGTGCATTGGCAAGTCAGAAGTACAAGTTCTTAGCTTTTGACTAGGTTACTTGATTTTGAAGAAAAGAGGGAAACAAGTTTCAAGAGGAGGTACAAGCATGGAATAGGTGATTGTAAGTGTCTTAAACCATTTATCATGAATTATAGGACTTGTTTGATCAGAAGAGAATAAGTGCAAGGCTCAAGAACAAGTTTTGTACATAAATTCCCTTTATCAAAATGGCAATGTAACCTTTCTTCTAAAAATAGATATAAAGCATGTCCATGCATTGAATGCTTGAAGTGAGACCTATAACAGCTGTGTAAACCATTAATTATGGAGTGCCTAACAAGTTTGAGGCCTGCAAAGTAGAGTTAATGCAACACCACTTTGAATTTGAATTTTGTTCATCACTAAAATGACTTGTAATTAAAGTGATAAAACTCTAACTTCATCTCTTCGATTCTCCCTACTCAAGAATGATCTCAAGGAGTTCTTGGATATTTTGGAAATCTTGTAATGTACTATAAAAACTATCTTTGAATTGATTTTGAAGATTCCCCTTGGAACTATATGAAAAAATGTTATGAAGTTAGGTCAAAATCCTGGCCAAATTAGGGCAAAATTTCACTAAGTGTTTAGTTTCATGACCACATTTTCATAAGATTATAACTTGAGATCCAAGAATTTTTGGAAGGAGTTGTGTAAAGAAAAGTTGTATATTTCATGGAGATCTACAACTTTCATGTTGGAAGTTTCTCTTGAATCATCTTGCATCATGGTGAAAAGTTTGTTCAAAGTTATGAAAAAACATGAAATTTCCAACACTTAGAAAAATTTCCAAGTTTAGAAATTTTGACTTTTCAAAATGAAATCTTGACTTTTTGATTTCTTGATGAATAAGTTTCATATTTTGACATGTTTTTATGAATTATGATCTTTGGCACTTGAATTTGACCAAAAAGTCAAAGTTTGACTTTTTAGTATACAGTTGACTTTTGATCAATTGACTACAAAATTCATTTGCCAATCCAATGGACTTGCAATGTTTTGAACTATGTCATTAGGTAAAAATGATGCAATTGGACTCTTGAGATTATGCCTTAAACCAATTGATCATTTGCTAGGTCAAAAATCAGAAATTGCCCCTTCTCAGTCCAAACCCTAATTATGACCATTTTGCCCTTTTGGAGATTTGATCAAATTTCTTGAGGAATTATGGTCCAAACTTGATCAAATGATACATATG